GCGTGCCGCGCCTCCTCATCGGTGAGGAGGGGCACGCGAGGCGAGGCGCTTCCCTTATCTCGACTCGAGATATCGAGCTCGGCGACGCGGGGGTCCGTGCCCCTTGCCACTCTCGGAGTGGCCGCGAATGCGGTCGCGTAACTCGACGTCGTTCCAGTCGACATCGGTGAGGGGGTTCGTGCCCCCACGGGCCCTGCTCCTTGCGTAATGAGGACAGGGTCGGCCTGCCACTCATCCTCCCCGATATGGAGGGTCGAGGCGGGTGAACTTGTCGCGGCGGACTTCGTAGTCCTGCCAGCCCTCCCTGCCGGTTTCGAATCCGGCAGAGGTAAACCGCGCCGGGCGCGGTACGTTGTACCTTCCGCCGTGGCGATACGGCGGATGGTCGGAAGATCGGTCTTCTGACTGCCTGGCAGCCTTTGCACAGTTTCGGATACTGCGGCACGGCTTGCCGGTGCAAGTCCCCGCACGAAGTAGTGCGCGAGGGACTGTTCGGAGAAGACTGCCGTGCATCGGAACGCGGCAGTCTCGAGTCGGTCAGCAAACGTGCTTTCCGTCTCATGCGGTTGCTGTCGCGCCGTAGCGACAGCGTCGTACGCTTCACCCAACACGTCGTCCGTGAGGTAGCGTTTTAAGAATTGGTTCACGAGCCCCGGCCAGCTCACGTCGTCGTGGAGCTGGCCGGCGCGGAGGCCACGCATCGTATAACTCGTATACAGTCGCTCCGCGTCGCGCTCGAGGAAATGCGCGAGGACTCGTACCGCAACACCTTCGGTCAGGTGTTGCGAGTTGAAGGTGATTCGGATATCCTTCAAAAACGGCAGCAGCTGGATCGGGTCAGTACCGTCGAAGCAGCGCATCGTGGGACGGATCCCACGACAGCGTTGGACGTACTTCGCGATCCGTCCCGCGTCACCCGAGGTAACGAGCCTCGAGGTGTTATCCAAGCGGTACATACGATAGTCAGCAACGGCGCTGAACTCTTGGATCATCGTATGTACCGGCTCGAGCCCGGGTTCAGCGGGACCCAGCGTGCCGAAGGAGGTAACCGGTAGCGTACGGACGTCTACCGGACCTGGATGCTCGGCGTAACTCGCCGGCGGGTAGCCGCCCGAGCGGGGATCGACGGAGAACAGCGGTTCTCCGGATCTGCGGGCGGCTCCTCCACGGTCCTGTTCGTCCGCGTACGATACGCGGTCCACTTGCCGCCTACTTCCGACGATAGGCGGCAAGCTTGGGTCTCAGACGCGAAGTTCGCGTCTATCGGAGGGCGGCTTCCTTCTGTAGTCCGACTGGTAGCGGCACCAGTCGGACGCCAACCCTCGGGGGCGGCGGCGCTCGGAGGTACGGTACCACCGGGCCCTCTCGGGGGGGCACCGGGTAGCCTTTCGGCCATGGTACGTTCCATGTCACGAGCACGCCGACGAGTGGCGTCGAGCTCAGCGGAGAGGTGCGCGAACGCACCCAATTGCTCTGCGGACGGAGAGGTTCGGTCCTTGGGTCGTCTCACCGAGGTCGGCCTCTCAGGGCGACCTTGCCCGGACGGTCCGGGCGAGGCGAAACGGGAGTCTTCGACGAGCACGATCCGCGAGTGTAACTCGTCGATCAGTGCTCGGAGATTCTCTAAGGACTGCGTCACTCTATCGAACCTCCCTTCACGCAGGGAGCGGAGTTCGGCCATACATCGAGTGTATACATGGTCCGATACATCGATCCGAAGGGAAGTACGGACTTCCTCGATGTATTCGGCTATGCGTTCGAACATCGCCGCCGCTCTTTCCTCGGAGGATCCGAGCGACGGTTCGCGGTCACGAGGACCTGCGTCGCCGTCGCCCGACGGGGCGGATGGGGACTTCACAGCGGCCGGACTCAGATCCGCCGCTTCGGAGCGGATCGAGGGCTCGAGCTCTTGGCTCACCTCGACGCGATCGGTTCGCGGAGGGAAGCGGAAGTCTTCTCGGAGATCGGACTCCAGGGTCTTCTAGGTCGGGAGATCACTGTAGCATAAACACCCCCAAACGGCGGGGGTGTATGCACGCAGTTCAGTAGCAGACTCCGGATCGGCGGAAGACGGAACACACGCAAAGGGAAAGGACACGGGTCCTGGTAGCGTGGTAGAGCGGGAAGGGTGGCAGGCGCGAGTGATTGCGCAGCGGGGCGGATCGACGCCTCAACGCCCCGGAGCGACACTGGGTAGCGGGCCAGTGTCGACGGGCGGAGGCGGATCGCTGCACGCGCGCGCACTGTAGCGCCTGCACCCCGCGTCGGTTCCCTTACCTAAACGAGACGCGAGAGCGGACTCGTGTTTTAGGTTAAGCGGTGGGTTGTCGACCAAGGCGGAAGGTCGTGGACAAGCCCGTGCTTGTCCCTTTCCTCCGCCGTCGGTCGCTCCCTTATTTAATGTACAAGTGTTCGGTTATCATACCAGACTACAGTATCATGCTACCGTAGCCGGCGCGAGTCGTCGCGCGCGGTGGCTCTGTCAGCTATCGAGCTGACAGTACACGTGTGTGCCACGTGTGTGTGCGCACGCCCTGCACACGTGTGGTACACGTGTGGGCTCGTGTGGGCTGTAAGGTTCGTGCCTTACAGCCCCTGATCTAAACCTAATCGAATCGACGGCGCATATACCACAGAAAGCAGACAGATGGCCTTTGCCGAAAATAGAAGAGATCTTTGATGACTTGGAAGGAAGTGCGTACTTCACTTCTCTGGATTTGTTCAGTGGTTACTGGAAAATTCGGATGGCACAACAATGCAAAGAAATGACTACTTTCGTCTGTCGCTACGGGACGTATAAGTTCGAAGTCATGCCCTTTGGATTGATGAATGCGCCTTCGACATTTCAGAGAATGATGGATACAATCTTTCGCGGAGTGCGGTTTGTGCGTGTGTACCTCGATGACATTGTGGTGTTCTCTAAGACTATAGAAGAACATCTTCGCCACCTGCAGCATGTATTTGATGTGCTTGACGAGGCTGGTCTTAAGCTTAAGCCGACAAAGTGTAGCTTCGCCCAGGCGAAGATCAAGTTGCTCGGTCATGTTGTCGACAAAGGCGGGATTGCCATTGACCCGAGCAAGGTCGAAGTGATTCGGAATGCACCGATCCCGACCACTGCGACTGAACTTAGGAGCTTTCTTGGGTTAGCAAGCTACTACCGTCGTTTCATCTGCAAGTTTGCGGACATTGCTGCGGTACTCCATGCGGCTACATCCGGAAACGGCAGATTGAAATGGACCGGAGAAATGCAAGAAGCCTTTAATGAACTACGCATAAAGTTAACTTCGCCGCCAGTCTTGGCTTACCCAGACTTCGAGAAGCCCTTCGTCGTTGAGACGGATGCGTCATCGGTCTCCGTCGGGGCTGTGTTGGCTCAAAAGAACGAAGATGGGAAAATACACCCCATTCAGTACGCAAGCCGTACTATGAATACATCTGAGCGCAAGTACTCCGCTTGTGAGCGTGAGGCGCTTGCGGTCATCTTTGCTTTGAAGAAATTTCGTGTTTACGTGCTTTCGTCTACACCTTTCAAGTTGGTTACGGATCACCAGGCTCTTAGTTACGCCTTTCGCAAGAAAGACATCCACGGTCGTTTGGCTCGTTGGCTAGACTTCTTAGCCGAGTACGACTTCACCGTGGAATATCCTCGTGGATCCGCAAATAGTGCAGCCGATTACCTTTCTCGTATTCAACCCAAAGCCGGCGACAACCCAACTTGCCAGGAAGAGGGAGAACTTGCCCTCTCTATCACGACCCTGATCTACTCTCCAGAAGATCTAGAAGAGTCTTGCCAAGATATCATGTCCTATCTGCAAGGCGAAACACCGGTTGGGTTGGATGATTACAGGAAGTCTCGCATGAAGAATAATGCGAAGAACTTTCTAGTGTGGGAGTCGAAGTTGTTCCGCCGCATCATTCATGGTCTTCGTGTTGTTGCCCCAATTTCCGATCGCGAAAAGGTACTGAAGGGTTTCCATGACGACATTGGTCATTGGGACTTGAAGACCACTCGTCAATTTGTCACGGAAAGGTACTGGTGGCCGACCGTTGGTATGGACGTGGGAGACTACGTGAAGAGCTGTGACGGGTGTCAGAAGGCACGTCCGATTCCCATGTATAAGACAACTTTGCGCCTTCCCATCACAAGCTTGTTTGATGTTTTCTCTATTGACTTTGCTGGACCCTTCCCTGTCACTTCGTCTGGAAATCGCTTCGTGTTGGTTGCGGTCGAACACCTCACAGGATGGCCAATTGCTCTATCTACTGCTGATAGTACTGCTCAAGTGGTTCTCGACTTCGTCAAGAGAGAAATCATGTACTCATTCGGCCCTCCGAGAACCATTGTCTCTGACAATGCTACCTGCTTCACAGCCTCGGCCGTTTCTAGCTTCATGGCTCGGCACGGTATCACTTGGCGCACCGTCCTCGCCTAAGCTCCCATGTCTAACGGTAGAGCAGAGAGAATGGTTGGAACTTTGAAGGCTGCCGTCCGTAAGACAGTTCTTGGAACTGGAATGGAGTGGGACAAAGCACTCACCCAGGTCCTGTATGGATATCGCCGACGTAAGATGAAGAACGGCGTGTCGCCCCTCGAATTAATGTATGGGGTCCCGCCTCGGTTGGATTCCAACGCAGAAACAGGTGCAAGCCTAGTTGTTCCTTCCTTAGACCATCATCGTCGTTTGGAGCTCCTGACTGGATCTGTCCCACGAGCAGTTCGCTCAGGGGCCTCTGTGGAAAAGAGGCTCGTAGCGTCGTCGTCTCACTTCTTCGAAGTGGGAGACAAAGTTCTTGTCGCTCGGGGAACTTCATTCGGTGGTACGAAATGGCCCGCGTTCGTTTCCAAATTCTACGGCCCGTGCCGGATCTTGGAAGTTCACCACCCGCGATATGTGCTAGAGTCGCAGCACGGCAGAGTATCCAGGAAGCCTATTCATGCTCGCCGACTCGTCCTATATCGTGAAAGGAAGTTCGAAGTCCTTTGTTAAAGGTTAAGGCTAAGTCTTAGGCACAAAATCGCTTAATGCATGTAGAGAATAGATGCAATTGCTATCATGAAACCCGTATAGGCAAGAAAAGAGAAAAGAGCGTGGCTGTTTCGACTTATTGCTTTCAGCTTTCAGCTTGCGACGTTCGCGACGCTTAGTGGAAGCGCTAAGCGCTCTTGTGGTGGAAGCACGGACAAGACAGACCTTTCCCATTTCACGAATTTCGAGCAGACTAACTCCATCACCAAGACAGAGTTTCAAAGCTTGAAGGGAGAAGGGCATGGGGTACGGTTCCATACAATCCAATATGATGTGATCCTTTGAAGATACGCACACCGTATGCAACTTGTTTGAACTCCCCTCAAGCGTGACAACAAACACTCCCGACTCGACATCAAGAAGTTTGCCTATCGTTGGGACCGATCCGAAGGTATGCTCGAGAACTACTTCCTCTCGTTTGAGATGCTTGTTGGCATCTCTCAGATCACGAATACGTCGCGGAAGACTCCCATGCTGCACAAACGACTTCGCATTCTCCTTGAAGTGCTTCCAATACGAATCGGCGAGCTTTCGCGCGCCGAGGGCACGTATCGAGTTGCAAACGGCAGCTGGGATGCATAGATCAGTCCGATCTTGATAAGGAGTAGCACCAAGGTTGTGGAGATGGAAAGAAGACGCCAAAGAGCTCTCTGTTCGGGCACCGGAAGTGGACATTGCCAACCAGCGCCCAGGATACTTCTGGCACCACTCATCAATGAGAAGGTAAGCTGACAAGTGGTCTCTGCCGTTGGTGTAGAACTTGTCGCTCTGGATCTGGTGGCCAGAAGATTTGTTCCCGCCACAGACTTGTAGGGTGTAAAGCAGGATGGCGTGCTTCGACTTGTCGCGTGCGTCGATGGCGACGTACTTATTTGCGAGTCTATTATAGCAAATGGACTCAATATTCCAAGTTTCATCCTCCACGTGATCATAAACACGCTCATCGTCAATCGATTCAGTCAACCCGACTCTGGAAAACTCATCTACCGAGTCCCCGTGCTTTCCTCGCGCACTTACGTGGACGAGAACATGTCGACCGAAAAGGGGGAGCATTTCGGTCAAATCCAAGTCATACCTTGTCAGCCTCGTTCCAACCCATACATGGTACGGAAAACGAGGCGAGGCTTCTTCATTCTTCGACACCTTCATTACGTCCGTTCTTTGCGACAATAGCCACATTATTCTCTCACGAGCGTTGAGCTCTCCAACGGATACTCTCGCCGCCTTCGACCCGAGCTGTTTACGAGGCGCCTTGCCACCAGTACTGCGGCGCGCCGTCTGCTTGGTTTTCGCCATCCTCGTTTAGATCAGGTTTCTTGCAAGGGGCAGACTCGAGGACTAAAACCTCACCTGAGTACCGCCACACAAGCAATCAGCGATCTCTAAAACTGGAGGCAAATAGTACCTGACGCGGTGTCAGGTTCTTCAAGAAAAACGCAGGAATACCGAAGTTAGTTGTGTGAAAATTAGAGAAGGTGGGTAGGTTAAAGATAGAAGTGAAAACTTACAGTGATGATGAGCTGTACACGTGTATACGTGGAGCGATTGGGGGAACGGTGTCGATGGTGACACTAAATTGTGTCACTTCGGGATGAAGAATGCGTCAAGGTGGACGTCCTACCTGGTTGACCCTGGGGGGGACCCCGGGATGAGACAGAGGATACCTCTTATATGTGACGCCCCGCCCGGGTTCGGGTCTGGGGAGGGGGTGGTGTCGGGAGGGATATCCAGGCCAAACCCCAAGACATACCTCAGGACATACCCTGAGACATCACCCAAATCTGTAGTTTAATAATTGGTCTGCATGTGTACCACGTGTACAAAGTAGAAATCTCCCGACAAGAGGCATTTATTCCGTCAAGTGGAGGCCGTCTTTTCTTGTGTATTGTGGGATAAAACCTCTCCGCCCTGGGTTGGGTGAGAGGCGGAGGCTTGAGCGAGGGAGCACGCGGCGCGGACGCGACGCGCCAATTGAACCGATCGGACGAGCTCGCGAAAAGGGAGTGGCTCACTGGCCGGTTACGCGCAGTCGCCCCGTGGTGCGTGAACGGGAGCGACCGGTAACGGGTTAGAAGCCAGCGCGCGCGACAGACAACCGAAAACGGACGTACGTAGGCGCAAAAGGGACGGGGGCGAGCTTGCCCCCGTTTACTGGTGGGGACGGGTGCCAGGTCTTAACCCCCCAGAGGGACGCCTCGGACACCTGTCCCAGTACAGTAGTACAGCACCTGCCGCCTAGTGCGTGCCGGGTACTGTACAAAATTAAAAAACTAGCGCCATAATTGCTACTACCGCACGGACGCTGCTACTACACGTGTGCACTACTGTACACGCGTGTTGCTTACAGACTACCGCACGGACGACACGTGTGCTAACGCGCACACGTAACACGCGTAGACTACCGCTCGGACGACACGTGCACTACTGTACACGTGCGCCAGATTACGACCGCTCGGCATGCGCGCGCGCTCGCTACACGTGGGCACAGCCGCCCACGTGTATACCGTATACGGCCGTCCGATGACCTCCGCGCGCTCGCTCCGGTCATTATACTACAGACCTCCCCCCTTAGCTTTCGCTACGTCCCCGTAGCGACCCTCTACTCGAGCGCGCGGGTCCGTTCCGGACGTTTCCTTCTATCGCGCACGATGCGGGAACAGAAGCCCCTCCGTGTGGACGATCATGCCCCCTGGCTCGTCAGCGAGCTGGCGGTATATAACGCCGCGAGTTTGACCGATTCGGAGAGCGCGTCTTCCGATTCTCCCCACGCGATCCACACTGACCCCCCAACTCTTCCCCAGCACTCCCCTGCGAACTCCGAAACCTCCTCCGACAGCGACGACGACATTCCCCTACAGCAGCTCTTCAACCAACCGATGGACGGTCATCGCGACACGCCGGCTGTGCGCGCGTACAGGCAGCCGTTGAGCCCGCCTCGGGCTCCGGCAGCGACGCCGGTCGGTCCCACCTTCCAACCGCGGCGACGCCTTCGCGACGGCCTGCACCCGCCCCCTGGAAGGGCGGGGCCCGCGCAAGCGCCAATTGATTCGCCCGTACCGGTCGCTCCGCCACCGCCAGGCGCCCAAGCAACACAGTCCCCGCCGCTGCCCCTCGTGGGCGTGGCTCCAAGAATGGTCGAGGCGGACCCGGAGCTCCCCGTGGAGCTGCCGCCGCCTCCCATGTCGCCGCTGCCCGCTGCGGGTACGGCGCTCACAAGGGCCGCTTCCGAGGCGCCGTACGCGGCGCCGGCGCCGTCGAGTAGCGTAGCGCTTGCGCCGGCCGGACGGGGAGCGACAACGTCGCTGGGGCGGGTATT